CATATTTATCCGGCCTTTTTGGAGTTGGTTAGATGAGACAAAGTCGGCTGTTTAGGCAAGGTATATATACAAGTGTGTCGTTCATCTTGAACTTATTGCGGCTTTCGGATTTTGTATTGTTAGAAATCACTCAAGCTCGTCAAGCAAATACGAAATTAAAGTAGTTATTTATTTCCTGCTCTTGGAAACAAAACTTTCGGACTGGACGTCGAAGGATCACTTTGGGAATAGAAGGAAGATAAACGATCGTTGGATAGTCGTTACAGTTGGCAAGATGAGAAACACCAATATCCCGTCGGGCTCACCACCCAAATATGAGGTTGATGATCCAAGTTCTTTGGCACCAAGATGGTGGGATATGAGAGCGTGGAGTAAGAAGAAGTGGGCAATCTTTGGCGCGGGAATCATTGTATTGATCATTGTCATCGTGGTGGCTGCTGTGGAAGGTTCAAAACAGAACGCTTATCCAGATTACTCACAGTTGAACTACACACTAAAGGATACTTGTAAGTTGTCTTCTTTTGTGCGATGTTCCATAGCCAACAACTTCGAATGCACCAATACTTCTGAGCTATCCGAGAAGCAAGGCTTTCTTATCATCTCCAAGAGGAGTTAGTGGCGATGGTTCTAGACCTACCTCTATGATTGTGTGACTAGAAGTTGGGCGAGATGCCCCTGATATAGTGTATCTTGCTAACATCCACTAAAGACTCAGGGACTGACTTTTTCGATAAATTCGATTACTTCAATACCTACGATCCATCAGCCGGTTTCGTTCACTATGTTGATTCCGAAGTTGCCGCTCAATACAATTTGACATATGCTTCATCAAGTTCTGCAGTTCTGAGAGTCGACACATCCGTTACAGCTGACAGTAACCCAGATGCATTTACTGGTCGCTTCTCGGTTCGAATTGAGTCCAAGACACAATACACTGACGGTCTATTCATCTTCGATATTGTCCACACACCCATTGGCTGTGCTACATGGCCTGCACTGTGGCTAAGTGATTCAAACAATTGGCCAACAAATGGAGAGATCGATATCATGGAGGCGGTCAACGTTGTGAGCTCTACAAAAAATCAAATGACCCTCCATACTACGTCAGGCTGCTCCATGGATGTCAAGCGTAAAGAGACTGGAAAATCCATTCAATCTTCATGCTTGAATAGCACGAATTCCAATGCTGGATGTGGTGTGCATGACTCTGCTGGATCCTTCGGTGCGGATTTTAACTCGAATGGAGGTGGAGTCATGGCAATGGAACTACGTACCGCGGGTATTCGAATGTGGCAATTCGGACGAGATGCTATTCCAACAGATATTTCATCTGGTAGCCCAGATCCGTCGACTTGGTCGGAAGCTACTGCCGATTTCCCTAGCACGGATTGCAACATTGGCAATCACTTCAAGAATCAAAGTATCATTGTCAACATTGATCTGTGTGGAAATTGGGCTGGTACCCAAAGTGTATATGATATTGATTGTAGGCGCTTTTCTGACCCTTTTTGATATTTTCACACTGATCATACAATAGGTCCCGGTACTTGCACTGGCTACGTCGCTAATAATGCAACGGCATTCACGGATGCTTACTGGCAATTTAATAATTTCACCGTATACCAGGCTTCATAATTTTCGAATCCTAATTGAGTGGAAATGAAAGGGTGATGGTAATGGGAATGGGAATGGATGTGATACAATTGCTTTGAAAGCATATTGGTATCGGAAAAGTTGTTTGGCCGGAAATCGCAATTGGGAAAGGAATAGACGGGAATATACCAGGAAAATGGCGTTTGTAGGAGTGTTGCACGCCATCAGCGATGATGTTGTCTTCATGTTGAGGTTAAGATGGGATTTTATATAAAACTCAAAGCCCGTATAGATAGATAGCTTATGGATGCAGTAATGAAGTAAAGGATTATACTCATTTCAATGGGATATCCCTAGACACCTAGGGTCGTCACAGTGTCCAAAAAGCCTAGCAAAATTAAACCGACAATGACAAACTAGCTTAACCCATGATCCTCATGATATCTCGAAATAAATAGAATAATATAATAAATATCTCTTCTAGACATCCCCCTTTTCGCGAGACGAAATCTCATAATTTACTTGGCAAGTAACCGATATCCCTACATCTTGCACAACCCTGTATCTTGCACACTTTTATTTCTTTTCAAAGTGATATATTAAATTCAAATTATAATTGATTAATCGTTATATTTTATTAACACTTTTTATTAAAATATAATCATATTATTTTTATTCAAAACAAAATTGAAATATTGAGAATACTTAAAAAATGTAATAATATTTCAATATTAAAATATTAATATAAAAATATTATATATTAACTTATTCGATAATATAAATAAATAAAATTATTCTTTTTTTGAATAATTTGAAATTTTGATTTATTTTTATATAGAGAATTAAAAAAGTAAGCCTTTATATTAAAAATTCGAAAAGATCTTGAATTATTATAATAAGATTTATAAATTATCTTTTTTTTAAATTAAAAGTAATTATAAATTAAGTATTTTATAATATTTGAATAAAAAGCTAGCTTTATAATAATATTTGTATATTAATTTAAATTAAAAAATTATAGAAAGATATATTTTATTATTTATATATATTTATAATTATTTATTAAAAAAACATTTATAATTATATATTATAATGATATTTTTATTATAAGATATTTTTAAACAATTTATTTTTTAATATAATTTTTGAAATATATAATTATTTTTTATATCAATATCAAAAATAAAATATTATAGGATTGAATTGAAAATGAATTTGGAATTTGGAATTCTTAGAAATATTGAAGAAATTAAAAATCTTTTTTTAAATAAAAATCTTTTAAAAATAAATTTATTATATATTTTTTAAGAAAGAATACATATAATTTTGAAGTTTTAAAAGATAAATAGTATTTTCAGAATTATTATATTTTTATTTATTAATTTATAATAGATTTAATATTGATTTTTAAATTATTTATTATTTTTAAAATAATTTTGTTATTTTAGTATTATATTCTTTTATAATAATTAAAGGTTGAATTTAATAAGTTTAATTTGAAGTATAAGTTTTCTTTTTTTTTTATAGAAAAAAGATTAAATAAATTTTAAAAATAAATTTTAAATCTTTTTTATTTTTTATTAAATTAAATATATTTTTAAAATCTTATTTAAAACTTGATTCTTAATGTTTTTTGAATGTTTAAACTTTTTTTAAAAAATATTAATATAAAAGAATTTGAAAAATTAACTTTTAGTTTTATAAATAAATTTTAATATAGTTTTGTATTATATTTTTAATATTTTATAATAATATTATTTTAAATTGATTATTATTTTGTTTTATAACTTAAATCTCTTAGAAATTTGATTTTGTTTTATAATATTTTTGAAGCTTTTATATATTAGTTTTGAAGTTATTATAACGATTTTTGAATTTACAATCGATTTTTAATTCAATAAATAAAAGTGTGCAAGATACAGGGTTGTGCAAGATGCAGGGATATCGGTTACTCGGGTACTTGTGCAAAACGCGAGGCTTTAGACTGCGCAAGGCCAAACATCAGCCTCGCCAAAAAATTCTCGGTGGATTACATCCCAAGGAAACCCATCTTTGCATTCTACCTTTTCCCTTGACGAAGAATATCGCAACTACTATCGTTCAAAATGAATGGGCCAGCATTTAATCCTCCAGGAGGGGGTCAGCAGGGTGTTGACCCTTCGACCGCTGCTGCTGTTAAAAATGTATGTTTGCTCTCCGGCTACAATTAGCATTGCTGTGTGGACAAGCAGAGCCTTGCTATGGAAAATTATCAGAGTGAATTGAACAAGGACTAATAATATCTGATAGATGCAAATGATAATGGAATCCTGTCCGGGTAAGACTGTCGTCTCGGGTGTAATGGGATTTGCCCTCGGTGGTGCCTTTGGTCTCTTCATGGCATCTGTATGTTTTGCCCCGCCTTATCTACTTTCCTCCTACGTACTTGTCAATGACTAAACTTCCAATACAGATGCAATACGATACTCCCATTCACACCTCCTCCACAGCTGCAGAAATCACATCTCTTCCCCTGCGCGAACAACTCAAACGAGGTCTCAAAGATATGGGTAACCGCTCCTATTCTTCGGCCAAGAATTTCGGCAAAGTAGGCGCTATCTTTGCAGGCACAGAGTGCTGTGTTGAAGGCTTCCGAGCAAAGAATGATCTGAAGAATGGGGTTATTGCAGGATGTATTACCGGAGGAGTATTGGCGGCGCCGGCGGGACCACAAGCTGCCGCCGTCGGGTGTGCGGGGTTCGCGGCTTTTAGTTTGGCGATTGATAGTTATATGAGGAGGCCGAGTGATGGGGATTAGGGGGATATTTGGAGAGTGGAAGGTGTGGATTGGAACTTTAGATGGCGGTTTAGATATGTATAATATGCTGTGAACAGCTGACGCATGGGATTGGAGTTATGGGCAAGCTTGGATGGGCTTAGTGTGGTTATGTTGATATATCTTTATAGTTATGACCTTGGGATCAATGACTAATTTCACTCCTCACGAGCGTTAGCTTTGGCTTTGACTTTCGTGGTTCAGTGTTGTTTGATGGTTTGAGTCTCTTGTCATATATGTTCGCGAAATTCGGCTGATTTGTTGTGTTTAGTAGAGAACACATGCAGGAACATTCGGCACAAGCACATATTCAAGAGAGCTTAAGTGTCTTTATGAGTTCTATTCTCATATCCCGGAGGTCCTTTGCTTCTTTTGCGAGTGTGCAATCAAGCTTCCTCCACATTGATGAGACAAGTATCTATAGAGCGCCAAACTCGCAGCCATAATCGGTCAATCTGTCCAGGAACCTATCTAAAATGAATCAAGTATCTATAGAACACCGAGTTTTCAACTACAATCAATCAATCAAGTATTAACAACTTTCGAGCAAACATTCTCCACCATCGTAGTATAGTGAATGCGTTCACACAAGCTACTTGGTGGTGAATTTACCCTTCATTCTAATCCTCTTACCATAAACATAAAACAAGAACGGAATGGGTATAAGCGCCGTTGCAACGAAACCCAGCACACTACTTCCCCACTCAATTCCCAAACCCTGAAACATGGGAGTAACAAACAGGGGAAACAAGGCAGCAAAGAGGGCTCGTACAAATGTTTGGGCCGCAACCGCACTTGCTGCACATGAGGAGAAAGTGTCGATGAGATAGTTGAGCGCAGATTGGAAAATGGTAAAGAAGCCAAATCCCATGAAGACGAGGCCGATGCATGGAGCTACCCAGTGAATGTTTGAGGAGGATGTCCAGCCGAAGATGAAGAGACCTGCTGCGAAGAATATACTGCCGATCATCATTGGAGGGAGGCGAGCTTCGGGGACGGGCTGGTTGTTATTTGCTTCAAACTTGCGGGTATAGAATTTTTTGTTGCTGGAGTTTGTTGGTTAGTAGATGTGGTTTGAAAATGGATTAACAACTTACAGAATGTTTGCAGCGCCACCGAAGATTGTACCTAGGAGAAGCGCAAGAAATGGAAGTCTGCAGCGAGGAAAGAGGTTAGAACACTATCTGGTATATGATTATCGTTAAGTTGGAGGTAAACTTACTCTGAAGTTACAGGTCCATAGCCTCTAGCCAGTGCAAATTGTACAGGAATCGCAGCCAGGCACCTAGCAATCTATCAGTGCATGTCCACAAACAATTCTCGGTTCTGACTTACAAATAGAGAATTCCATAAACAAACGAAGCATAAAGTACCATGAGAAAGCAAATCGGGGTTCCCAGTAAACGAAAGGGTCGCATCAAGAACTTATCGCCCATCTCTCTAAAGCTGAAGCTGCGCTCTTCGTGTCTGGCATGTAAAGCCCAATTTCCAGTATCGTGGCGGAGACGACGTGCTTTGGTGACTAGGAGTGCGTCTGGATAGGTTTCGTTAAGGACAAGAGCGCCAAGGAGTAAGACTGCCATTTGCATGATTCCGGTTATCTTTGAAGGAGTTAGAAACGACAAGTGCATAGTTGGAGACCCAAGGACTCACATATTCTGTCCATCTCCATCCCAGATAGCTTGATGTGATGGCTCCTCCCACAATGGGACCCATGGTAGGACCTTGAACTGGTGAGAATCGTAAATGTGGGAAGGACGCATGTACTCACCTCCAACAACAGCAAACGCATAGCCGACGATAGCTGTTCCTCGCGATTGGGGTGCCCAGATATCAGATAGAACGCCGCCGGTATTTGTCACCTAGTTATGATGTCAGAGGAGTTGGTTGAGTTCGAGGTGAGGTTTCTTACAGGAGCAGCTCCGAAAATACCAGCAAAGAATCGTGTCAAGAGCAGTGTCTGAATGTCTTTCGCAGTGGCGGAACCAAATGAAAAGCATGCTGAGATGAAGACTATTTGATACATTAGCTGTGGTTCTGCACATTGAAGGTACAAGAGTGCAGGCTAAGCTTTTGGCTACTTGCATAGTAGATTTGCTTACCTGGAGTTAAGACTGCAGCCTTTCTGCCATAACTGATCGGCGGTTAGTACTGGTAATAAGCAGATGGGTGAATTGTAACTGGTTGGGACTGCAGAATACAGTACAGCACACAAGACTCCGAAGTTAACTTTCGGTCACTCACATTTCAGAAAGAGGAGCCCATAGCAGAGGACCTACATCACAAAGAATGGTTAGTTTGATTATTCACTTCGTACTGGTGAAGAAATATCTTACCAAATCCAAATCCTAGCAATAAGAAGCTTACACCTAGTAGACTAACCTACTCTTTGTTAATAGCATTCACTTCAATGTATCGTAGTTCCAAGGAAAACAAACCTCAGGAGAAACCTTAAATTCGGCTGCAACTTGGTCAATAGCAGGACTGTATACAGAACTTGCCCAGGTCGAAGTCATGGTGAACAAGCCATAGACAAATGTAGTGATCAGCTTCTTTCTGAATGGCCAATTCAGAGGTTGATACTGATTATTTCTATCAGCATTGCCAAATTCACAATTACATGAGCATGGAATGAAGTACTCACAGGATCATCAGCACCATCGAAATCAACAACATCAGCTTCTGTGGTCTTCAAATGCGAATTTGGATGCGTGAATCTCTGCTGGATGCCTAGGCGGGTAAGAGATTGAGAACGGGTGATGCGAGCTGGAGTAGATGGAGCCTCTACAACAGGTTGTTTTTCGACTTCTTGTACTTCGAGATCCAGATCAAGTACAACTACATTTTCGAACCAATGAGTCTCTGAGCCAGAGCTTGAAGTGGAACTGGTAGTTGACGCCATCTCGTCTGCGTTTGTGAGGCAAAGAGAGAGACGTGCAAAGAATTAAAATGAGAGATTGAAGAAAATCTTATTTCATGGATGTGTAAGCAATCTCTTAGAATACATGAGAGAAGAAACCCAGAAGAGTACGAGATTGTCTGTTTATAAAGTGAAGTGAAGTAAAGTTGAACACCGGGACAGCTACAGAGGGGCAACTAGGATAATAAGGTGATTGATATTGTAAAAACTCACCCATTTGAAACTTCCAAGGTGAAGAAAAGTTCTAGCCAATTTTAAATCAATGAGACTTTACCCTTTAGCCGTTATCGGATAGAGTCCGAAAAGATGAAGGGGCTTTGCATCTTCGGATGAAGTTTTAGTACCTATCAGATGAGAATGAAAGGGCGATGTTGGTAGTCAATCAGTTGTACTTCTATTTAATCTACTATGTTGACTTGAATGTATGTATGTCTTGTTTGAAACGTTTATGTCATCTGCAGCTAAACGTCATATATTGTGTGGAGTAGTAAATGATATATAAGATGCATACAGTTCACACAAAATTCTTAGTCTTTGATGGTACCAAGAGGGCAAACCACTCACAACCAACAATTACATGTGCAAGATACTGGGAATAGTGGCTATATATTGGATCAAAATAGAGCTTTTTTCAATAGGATGATCTTCCATTGATTGTATCTGAGGTCAAGTTCTCAGTGTGAAGTGCAGCATTTGACATGCATAGCATAGAGATCAAATGGTCACAATAACAACATCACAACACAATATTAAGATTGCATATTTGTTCATTCAAGCAATGTCAGATGTCCCAGGAAAAATTGCTTCAAAAATAACTACTACATTGAAAGCCCAATAACTATAGTATAATAAAGAGAGTGTGTCACAACTTCTTGACCTACAAATATACCTGTCTTGGTCTGTCCACATAATCCTTCCAGGCTTCATCGAAACCAACACTTCTAGCCCACTACATGAAATGTTAGCACATATATATACTTGTATGAAATGGATAACTTCGTGGGATACGTACAGTATCTCCAGTGTCTTCAACACTGTCAGCTACCATGTTGCCGATCTTTAGCCACATAAAATTCTTAATCTTTGCCCAATCTTGGTCTTCATAACCCTGGCTGACTACCTCAGCATGAGCGACTGCCCTTCCAAGCTTCACGGCGTGACCATCGTCTTCGAATTCGAACAGTCTTTGAAACAGTCCCTTCCATTCCGCATCTCCAGCTTCAAGAAGCTTGGGGACATAACCCGAAACCTCTTCAAGGAGTAGCTCGGGGGAACGACGGGATGCATACATGGTGAGATCAAAGCGTCCTTTCCATTCCAAAAGCCTTACCTTCTGAGCTTCGGACAAAAAGTCTTGCTTCTTGAAAGAAGTGAAGAAAATCGAACTGTTGACACAATGCATAAAGTAGAAGTCAAATTTCACCTGATGGGATGAATGTTAGCTAGAATACATCTGAGAAGTGTATGACTCACTTGTTTTGGCGGGTGCTGAGCAGCAGCAGCAAAATAAACGGCGGAGCTGATCATTTGAGCTGTTTTGGCTTCAAGCTCACCTTTTCCCACGGTCCACTGAGATGCATAGTTCATCATTTCATCTGGGGCTCTGGCTAAGATGCCATCTCGAATTTTGTTACCATCATCCCACTCAGCAGCGGTGGAAAGCTTCTTGTCGTCTCTAATCTCGTCCAGAAGTTGTGGAATTGTCTTATTTCCAGGTTGAGCGTTCTTTTCAACGTCCAACAAATACTGAGTAATCCACTTGTCGTGGACGGAAGCTTGTGCTAGCGCTTCGGCAATGATAGCTGGTTGGTTGAACTCAACACCAAAACCTAGATGAATTAGAGGATGAAGAAATCCTGGTGAGTGTTAGCAATTTCTTAGATACATGCAACTACAATGCTGTATACCTGCAAACATCCTGCCGAGCATGTCGTCTGCTTTCGAATCGCCTGCAAAGACGTTTTCTTTCAATACATCCTTCCATCCTTTGGATTCAATCTCTCGCTGCCAGAATACCAAAAAATCATGATAGTGCTTTTGCTTGCCAAGATTATTGTGGAAATTTTCTGGTTTGGACATGTCGATTGGGGCCTAGAAACTTCAGAAACTGTGCTATGGAGACGTTGGGGATTGAGATAATAGAAACCATGATTCATGGTAAATCTGGGTTTACAAACTAGTAGACTTGGTAGATGGTGAACTTACTTGATTCTTAGAGAGAACAACAGGTCGTTGATATGATGCATTATGTTTATACTGCCGCTCAATGACGGAAGCTGGAGCACCAAGGCCATATAGAGTCAATAGGTGGTGGACAATATGGTTGTGAAATCCTATATCATTAAAGAAAATGTGATGTTTCTGTGACAAGCAATTGTTAGGACTTATCCTCAAGACAAAATCAGGCATCTTACATCATGGTTCTCTTGTAGTAGCTGCGAGGTTTTTTTGGCAGTTTCCGAGTCTTGAGACCCGAGCTTAAACACGCCAGTATCGTCAGGAGTCAGGTGGATGGTGTTTGAAGTAGCCATATTGAGAAGATTCTTTGTGTGTGTTGACTGAAATCGAATAGTGTGTGGTTTCAATGCAAATATTCTGCGATCAAACGGAGGTATAAATAGCAAATTAACAAATACTTGTGACTTCCCTTTGCCCTTTATGATTTGGGAGAAAGGGGGTCTAGGCCTGGTGAGCATCTAAAGCTGATTGATGTATGGTGACGAACTCTCACGTGGGTTTATTGTTTATTGGTGAGTTAACACTCCCCATAAGCTGGCTGATAGGTCTTGACGGTTTCGACTAAATATTCCAACCTGGCCTTTCGCTTCCCCGCATCACAATGCAATAGAGTGAGTAATAAAATGACGAAAAGATTATCAAGCAAGGGTAACACGATTGGAAATCAACTCGGAGTCTCAATTCATTGATGGTTTTGCACTCAACTCACTCCCGTAGGCTTCTGCTACTGCTTTCCAGAGACGGGTGGGTTCGTAGAGTCGTTGGTAAATTTGGTGGCTGCTTAGCTGACCTATGACGGTGATACGTATTTCAAAAGTAGAGTGAGAGTGACAGGCGTAAATGAAGTAGCTCGAGATGAGAAACGCCTATTGAAACAATATAGATGGATTTTGTTGCGAGAATGGTAGAGTGCTATTAGATATGTGTATCTAGGCATTCAGAGAAGCAATGGTGCTAAGTTGATGTTGACGGTCAACCTCGTATCTACCTAGTTATTTGCTTCCTTGAGAGTTTATCAAAGACACTTCTACCGGTAGAAGCTGTACATGTGGTAGAACCAGCTAATAGGTCAGGCTATGATCTGCATTCTTTTTATCTGACCTCAGCCAACCGTTGTAAGTTGGTAGACAGCAAGGTAGCAAGAAGGCTCGAGCAAGTAGGCTCGAGGTAGGTACTAGGTGCGTGGTATGTCCTTCGTATGTACCGATACCTACCTAGTTCCTAATCGTCAATGCATCTTCTTCTTCTTCTTCTTCTTATTATTATTATTATTATTGTACGAATATCCAAGTAACTCCTACTCAAGGACTTGAGATGATTTTACCTATCCAGCCATGCCAGATATTTATTGATCACCCACCTATTTGAGCCACCTGCCTGAGCCACCTACCTACCTACCCCGTGATGGTAAATAATAAGTACCGGTAATTGGTTGTTTTCTATCTCGATGACGTAAGTGTAGATAGGTGTGTGCCACTCAGCCACACCACTCAGCTTACATAATCCCATGAAACCACAACACCAAGCTTGAGGTAAACCCAATTTCTGATTGCCTTCGAATCAATACCTACCAGGTACCTACATAGGTAATCAGATCGCTCACCTATTTATCTATCATAAGTTTGTTGTGCAATACCTACTACCTTTGTATCTACACTATCATCCCCATAACCAACCATCCATATCTTGATTCGATTGAAGAGTTCGATGACTTCTCTCTGACCACCAAGGTAGTATAACTCAACACCCGCCTAGGTAAGGTTGACTGACTACTAACCTCCCCATTCCCAATTGTGGAAGAAAAAGAGGCAATTCAATATTTCCATTGCGATCTTACCATTCCGACCTACCTGCCTGCCTGTTGCCTATCTATCTAGGTGCTCATCTTGCTAATTCTACATTCAAGTTGTTACTTCTTATATCTTTTCTTGTCTCTTTACTTATCCCTTTCTAGGCTTTTATAGAGCATGTTTTGACACCAAATTCATCGCACCATTCTATCTATCCCGTCTTGCTTGGTATTTGGATTAATCCATATTTTACCCTGTATTTTTGGACCAAATCAGTATCGACGTTGCTTCAAGTCCCTTTTGCCTATCATGTCAACGATTCAACAGAAAGTGGCTACTTGGAGCTCTGTTGCTTTGCGGATTGTGGCTTATGTCTTTCTCAGAATAATCCCTGGTCACGTAAGTACATATTTTCGGACTCAAAGTTTCAACTACTTACACTTATTCCCAGCCATGGCCGCCCCTCATATACACCCTTTTTGCACTATATGTGCCCTCCTTCATTTATGGTCATGTGACACAAGCACCATATACTGTAGCAGAAGATGATATCAATATCACCGTTCTAGAGACTGAGCACGAAGACCAGCCGTTCGTATCTGCGGCAGGTTCTCAAACAAAATCGGACTCGGACAGACCAAAGCACGTGGAGGAAGAAGTTGAAATAGACGAGATAGTGGTGATGAAGAAGAATTCACCTAGACCATTCCATACACTTTTGACAGGCGCGCCTGATCCCGCATCAACATTTCTCTCGCTTTTGACCTTCTTGGTCAACGTGGGCTTAGTTCTAGTCACGATAGATCTGGTGTATCATGCGAAGGTTTTGCATCCTAGCACGAAGCTTTCATTCGCACGAATGGGCTACATGTATGTGCACCACTTTACCCCTACACGCGACCTCATTTAGTCACGGCAAACCACTAAAAGTGTGGTTATCATAAGAGACTTCTG